CCGCCTCCTTATCTGGCAATGCATTAAGTCCACTGTATTTTCATTCCTCTCTAGAAGTGTATTTCTCTTATTCCAACTGATACACTTAAAAGATTACGTGTAATGGAATAGGTTTACATGGCTTGAGGCTATCAAAAGAAAGCCTAAAGCACACTAAGTACACTGGTTCCCTCCTAGGTTCCTGGAAGTTCTCAGTTACCTTCTGCAAAAGACAGCAATACCAAAATAATTCCCAACTGGAGCTTTCTTGCTCCAAATGTTTCCCCCTCAGCCATCCAAATTACTGTACTGAAGCCTCACTGCAAAATACTACATTATGAAGATTGTGAAACAAATAGTTTCTTTCCTGAAGCCTGTGGGATTTGTGCAACTCTTGTGGAATTCTTACCCAATGCCTTGGATCTGCAGTTGAGGCTGGGTTCCCGAGTCCTTAGTTTTCACTGTCTGATAAGTAACAATAGTACAAACAGTGCTTCCTGCTCCCATGTCGTAAAACATGATATTCTGAAAAGAAAAGCTGGGATAGTGAAGCAGAAACAACTGGACATCCCCCCACAAATAAATAAAGAACCTTTCAGTGTGATACAGGCGGCAACTATCTACTCCCTGGATTGACTTTATACCCTAAGGGCAGGACTCGTATTTTGACCAAACATTATGTTTTTGACCAAACACAGGCTCAGGGTCATGTTTGACAGAAGGAGACAAGAAAACTTCTAATGTATTTCACAGTTCAAAACCCAAAGTTTTGCTTTTTCTTCAGCCTCAAGTAAATCAAGTACTTCTGAGTCAGTGTTCCAATACTTCAAGTAATCACTGCTCTTATTTTCCCCAGCTGATGGGCAAGGTACAGGTTTACAAAATGGGAATTCCCAGGACTTGTCCTCACTCCAGCAGCTTTCAGGCTTCACCATACATGCACACAGCGTTTAATCTCTTTGTCTTGTTGATAAACACATGAAAACAGAGGAGACTGCTTGATCAGCAGTCTACTTCAAGTTCTTTGGATTTCTTCTGCAGCACTTTCTCCCTTGCGTGCAGGCAATCTCAAATGCATCTCTCAAATGCACCCACCTGTGCCGTGGCATTGATGTCCTTCCTCCTAAAAACCCCATAGTTCAACGCTACGGCCGTGTTGTCATTGATCAGCTGCAGCACCTTGAGGTCAGCCATGCGGGCGGCGTGCAGAACTGCTCTCCTCTCTGCTTGGTTGAAGTAGGCAGGAACTGTGATCACTGCATCTTTGATGGGCTGCTCTGGAACAGTTGTAGGGAACTCTGCATCAGTGCAGCCACACGCAAAGGCTTGCTGAGATGGAGTGACAGCAGCAAACCCAGAGGACCCAAGGTGAAGACTCACACAGAATGCAACCCTGCAGCAGCAGCCAGGATCCCTAGGAACAAATCTCTGTATCCTGCTGAAACCAAGCAGACCTGGCATATTCATGCAAAGCCACAAGTCTACCGACCAGTCTTTCATGTGTCAGGATACTCTCAAATGCTCTTCCATTTCAACAAATACTATCTTCACGGAGCCTTACACTGCCACTGGATTACATTCACTCTCCAGTAAAAAGTCTTTGGACTGGTTGTAGTGCCACTGACCACATGACAAAGCCTCCTGGTAATTTATCCACTTTTCATTACTGTAGTATTTAATTAGCAAGACAGCATGAAATACACAACAGCCTCCTCTCTGTTAGCAAGTTTCACAGCAAAGGGCCATTTTTGCTCTTTGAGTTCAGCTCCAACAGCAAGCTTCCACCCAGAACAGCCTTCACAGAGCCATTTCCACCCTCCCCTGCAGCCAGATCCCATGTGCCTCCACTCTGATCACGCACGTGATAAAGAAAACACTTTACTTTTCTCCAAAGACTGCCTGTAAGAATCCTTCATTGCAACACTAGGTGGTAAACAGAGTGTCTGCTGCCAAGAGTAGGATTAAGATCCCAAATTTGCATCATGTTAGAAACAAATGACAACTGGATAACTTCTAAGTCTTGCTTACAGCCTACAGCTGGAGAGAACCAATATCCTGTTTCCAAAAACCTTGGGTTTCTGAATGCTTTTGGTCTCTACTGGAATCCTACAGTGTACGAACACATACACATATAGACAAGACAAAGCCAAAACCTCCCAACCTGCAAATTCCTCAGCCAGACCACGTGAATAGTTCAGGACCATCCCCAGCATCTCCTCGGGAGAATACCATATCGTTCTACAATGGGAAAGAAAATGATGGCACCAACAGTGAGCTGCAGAAGCCTGGTAGCTGAAGTCCATCCCACAAAGACCCTAGAAGCAGCCACTTACGGGGACAACTTGAAGATAACAGTCTGCCTGATGTCATCCTTCACCAGCTCATGCTCCGGGAACCGGGACTGGTACAGCGCCACGTGGGGATTATCGATCCGCTTACCCAGCAGATCCTGGAAGTATCGGAATGCCACCTTGGGCGTCCTTATGGACTGCAGGAAAAAAACACATCACCCACTTGCATTCCTTCAGTTACGCTGCTGTCAGACCAATCCCTCCCAGACTACGTGGGGAACAACTCTTGCTATGAGAGTAGGAGAACACAGCCACTACACAGAGCAAATAAGACATCCAGGAGATGAGAAGCACAGGACAACAATAAAACACCAGCTCAGATGTTTGATGCATGTATTCTGCAAACAGCAACTCTTACCATCCCCAGTGCACCATCACCGAAGAGTCGCTCATTCTCTTTCAAGGAAACAGCCACGGGTGTTTTCCTTCGTGACTCCCTGAGAACAGAGAGGAAGGAATAAAGCAGTGGAAACAGGTGAACATTCCAGTCTCAGTGAAGATGGATGTTGTTCCCATCCCAGAAGGACTAAGGGAAGGTGCTTAGAGAGGGGGGCCAGCCTCTGCTCAGCTGAGGGGCTATCAGACAAGCCCCCCAGCCCCACTCCTTCCATGCTTTGATGAGACTATTTATGCTTTCCTCCACCCAAAGCAAGGCACGACAGTTCCCTTATTCTATCTAGGACTGCCGAATTTCAGGGAGGTGGGTGAGACATCTCCTCGTTATCTGCAGACTCCCAGAAATTGAGGACGTTCCTGATCATATGTCTTCTCTCACCTGCAGATCCTTCACTCAGTGGCTTGAGGATGGGCTGCAACAGCAGCTGAATACAAGAGGTTTACCTGTGGTACAAGTGTGGGCTTTGAAAAGAGGCAGCAAAACAAACCTGGCTTTGAGCTCCCTTAGGAGAATTAAGCATCAGGGGACAGGTGGGAACTGGGTGCCCTTTTGGGTTTGCACCACAACGTGTCCTTAACCACGTGGGTTTTCGGCACTCACTCGAAAGGGACCCAAAGCGCACCCAAACACCTTAAAAGTGAGCTAACAAACTGCCCTGGACGATGCCCCGCAGCTGCCCACCCAGGGCAAGACTGAGTCACAAGCCCGCGTGGGAGAAGGGGAGGGTTCCTCCGGCAGCCAAGGAACAGGGACGGAGTCCCAGCCCCCGAAGTTCCCTCCCGCCCGCCCGACGCTGCTGGGGGCTGCAGCCGCCGTACCGGGACCGGCCGGACATTCCCGGGCCCTCCTCCCGTACCGGGACCGGCCGGGCATTCCCGGGCCCTCCTCCCGCACCGGGACCGGCCGGACATTCCCGGGCCCCCCCCGCACCGGGACCGGCGCGCTGTTACAGCCGCTCACTTGTTCAGGACGATCTCCATGGGCACGCCAGGCTTCACGATGGCGATCTTCATCGACTCGCTGCCCACGTCCACCGACATCACCGCCACCGGCTCTGGAAACAAACCCTCGGTGAGCACCTGTGCCGGTGTGGGCCAGGACAAGGCCAGGCCCGGACAGGGCGCTGGGGAGGCACCGGAGCACCGGCCGCGGCCCCTCGCCGGCCCGCTCCTCACCGCCGCCGCCCCGCGCCGTCCCGCACGTACCTGCGGCGGGCAGGAAGCACAGGAGAAGCAGCCAGGGCAGCGCCCAGCCGGGCAACCGCGCCATGCTCGGCCCGCACCGCTCGGCCCGGCTCAGTTCGGCTGGACTCGGCTGGACTCGGCCCGGCTGGACTCGGCCCAGTTCGGCTGGACTCGGCTCGGTTCGGCTGCACTCGGCCCGGCCCGGCGCGCGGAGCAGCCCCGCCGCGGCGGCCCCGCCCCCGCGAGCACGCGGCGCGCGCCCATTGGCGCGGCTGCCGGGGCCAGCCCCGCGCGCCAATCCCGCAGCGCGCGCGCGCCAATTGGGCCACGTCGAAGGAAGCCGGAAGCGGTCACGAAGGGAGCCGCGGCTCCCATTGGTCGAGAGCGCGGGGGGGGGGCGGGGCCGCGGGAGCCGGCCCGAGCGGCGCGCGCGCGTCACGGCGAGCGAGTGGGCCACGTGCGAGCAGCCCGCGCCGCGCATGCCCCCTGGCGGCCGAGCGGCGCCTCGCGGCCAGGCCGCCACAAGCCACGCCCCCTTGTGGGCCACGCCCCCTTGTGGGCCACGCCCCTTGCGGGCCACGCCCCCGCCTTCGCCCGGCTCGGCTCGGCCCGGCTCGGCTCCGGCACGACGCGCCCCCATCCCCTCTCTCTTTCGGGCTCGCCCCCTCCATTGGCCTGTCCCGGGGCCGATGTTCCGGCCGCTTCCCCCTCGCCGCGGTCCCGCAGTCCTTGCGCACGGTGCCAAACCCTTCAGCTCACTGCCAGTGGGTCCCCGGGCCCCAGCCCTGCCCGGGGCAGGCTCCGGTGTGTCTGTAACGTCCCACGCAGCAGGGACAGCCCGGTTCACGAAATGTTTTATGACCGGGTAACCCACGCCACAATCCTCATCTGGCCCCAGCACAGTGGGAACAACGATCCGAAATTACAAAAGATTTACAAAAAGGGGTCTGAGTCTACCACGGTTGGACATCCTGGTGGGGGCACCGCATGGCCTCACCATCTCCTCCCCTGGAACACTATGGCAGCAACTATCAGCATCACCCTCAATACCATCACCTCCCCAAGGCAGAGAGCTCGGGGCCCAGCAGGTCTTTGGCAGCTTTTTACATTTCAGCACTTTGATATTGTTCCAATAAAGTTTCTAGAAAGTCAACGTAAAAAAAAAAACACTTATTCCCTTGCCTAGACAGGCAACACTCAGGACCACCCAGCTGCGCCCAGTGCAGGTCCATGCCCTTGGTGTGCACAGCCCTTGGCATGAGGCAGGGACCGTGGTCCTCTCAGGAGCTCCTTGCTGCTTGGGATGCTCAGAAGTCCACGCAGCTGGTGGATTTGGGGTGCACAGCACCGCCCTCAGTTCATGAACTGGGTATAGCCCTCTGCCCCAGTGACAATGACGTCCATCCAGATGCGCATGGCCTCGGCTGATGGTGCCACCATGTAGTAGAGTCGGTCGTGGGTCTTGACACAGAAAGTGAGCGCAGGACTGGGGCTCTGGAGGGGACAATGAAATCACAACTCTGTTCCCCTCTGAGCAGGATGCAATCCCCTCCTTGTCCCCCCACAATGCCCAGCACGGGGGTCCTGCCCTCAGTGCCCTTGGCATCATCAGAGCCACGGGCCATTCCAGGAGCCTCCCTGGCACACGCTGCCCTGCTACCTCCTACCAGCGCGACAGAGGACAACGCAGGAAAACAGGGACAGCCACAGGAGCTCCCAGCGGACACCACAGCAGTGGCAGTGCCCAACTCTCACCTTTGCAGCACTGCGGAGGTGGTCATAGTAAACCTCTTCAATGGCTTGGAAGTAGATAACACCCTTCAGCTTTGTCTCATGTTTATCTGCCAAGAGAGGGGACTGCTGTTGACCACGGGTGACAGCACGGGGAGGGGACATGCGGTGGCATTGGGACTCACCCACGTAGTAGGAGAGGGTGCGCTTCATGCGGTCAAAGACAAACCAGCGCTTCTTCCAAGATTTGATCTTCCCGCCCATCTTGACCAGGTAGCCCTTACACATCTTCTCTGTCAGGATGATGTGGTAGCAGGTGTCAACATTGTGGCCTGAGGATTCGATGTGCAGCCGCAGGTTGAAATCCTCCTTGCGGATGGGGAGGTACCGTGTCAGGGGACGAGCCTGGAAAAGCAACACAGCCCTGCAAAGCCCACCGATGGTGACAAGAGCCACGTCCCTCCGCTGCGAGCTGGGACATCAGTAGCAAGGCGGGTGTGCCTCACTGTCCAGGCCAAGAGAGGGGGACGGCAGCCTGCCTCACACCTGTGAGAAGTGCTTCTCCCGCAGTTTGACCTCCTTCTCCACCAGCTTCTGCCGCCGCACAGTCTCATCCTGCAGTCGGCGTTCCAGCTGCTCCCGCCGCCAGCGCTCATCCTCCAGTGCCTGTTGACGCAGCTCCATTTCTCGCTCCTGCCAGCACGCACAGGCACTCAGCCCCAAGCACTGGAGACCTGCTTGCCATCTAGCCGTGCTGCTGGTGCCCCCACTCACCCGGGACTCCATCAACCGCGACTTCTCCTCGTGTGCCTCCTTCAGCATCTTCTCCATCTCCTCGATCTTTCCTGTCTCCATCCCGCTGGCACTGCAAAAGAGCCACAGCTGCTGCCCCAGCAGGAAGGACCTTGAGCCAGCAGCACACCAGCAGAGCAGGCTGTCCCCTGGCCATACAAGCTGGGCCCAGGATTACCTGGAGATGTTGTCAGGTGAGCACGCGGAGTTGTTGCTGAGGGAGATGCTGGTGTCCATGCTGTCCGAGCTCTCCAAGCTGAGCGTGTCATACGCATGGTCCAGCTCCTCAGCCCGGGGCCCGGGACCATGGGGGCGGCTGTGGTGGAGGATGGAGTGGTGCACAAGCCGGGGGAAGGCAGTGGGGAAGGGGGGCTGCCCATGCAGAGCTTCCCACTGGGACTGCGCTTCAGCAGCTGCTTTCTGCTTCAGCTCTGCGAGCCGCCGTTTCTGCTCCTCAATCACCTGCCGACCTGTGCCACGGGAAGATGAAAACGTCAAGTTAAATGTGCCACATTCAGAGCCACATCATGGTGGGCGAGGGGGTGGCACAGGCAGAAGACACTACAGGCACTGCTGGAACCACAAAAGCATGGCAGGGGCAGAGGTGGGAGCTGCTGTCACAGTTCTCCGGCAAGCACTGCAATATGTCTGGGCAGGAGCTGGGGGCACATGCACCAGGCTGGCAAGGAACAAGCAGGGCAAAGCATTAGCAGGCTAGGGATGCACAGGGTTGTCTCTAAGCAGATGTTGAGATGCACCTGGGGTCCTGGACTGCTCATGCCCCTCTTATGTATGGCAGAAGGTGACAGCAAACAGCCATGCTGCTGCCTCTGGGCTGCTCTAGGCAGTCCAAGTCACCCCACATCTCTACCTGGTGGATTGCCTGGCTGCAAGGGCTCTGCTGGGAGCAGCTTGGCTGGAGATGGGCCGTCAGGTGGAGGGGTCAGGAGGACAGAGAGGGGGGAAAAGCAAGAGACTGTGAGAGAGGCACCGCATCCTGCCAGAGCACTGCTGCTGTCGCAGCAGAAGGGAGCCTTGGCCAGGCTCCCTTCTCCATTGCCCAAGTGGCAGCAGGGAGAGTATTTCCCAAAGTCCCACCACCCCACAGAGCCAGAGCTCACCCTTCTGCTGCAGGGCCAGCTGGCGCTTGGTCTCGATGTCCTGCAGCGTGGCCACCAGGTTGCGGGACAGGCTGCCTGCCGGGCTGGGGGGGCCCTGGGCAGGACAGCAGGTGGTCAGCTGCAAGGATGGGGATGGGGGCTGGCACCAGGCACGTGTGAGCCATGGCCAGGTTGCCTGGGTCCCCCTGGCAGCCATACCTTAGGGGAGGGGCTGCGCTCCAGCACGGAGAGGTTGAGCTGTGAGGACGAAGGGGTCCCACTCTTCATCCGAGGGGTGAGGACACCAGCAGCACCCTCTGTTTTTGCACGATAGACCTGAGCACAGAGACACAGACATGAGAGAGACATAGGGGAACTGCAAAAGTCCCCCTGGAGAGATGGCTCCCCAGACCCTGCTCTGTGTCGGTGCCATCCTGGCAAAGGGATGCAGCCCAAGAGGAGGCAGAGACTGCCCACCCTAGGCCACAGGTCTGCTCTGCCTCTGCCTGCTGTGGCAGCCAGGGCCCCAGCAGCACTCAGACTACAGGGTCCACAGGAACGTCCCCACACTGCCCCACTTCTGCCACAACCAGTGGCCCCAAAGCCTGAGCCTTGGCAGCAGAGGGCCAGGATTACCTGCAGAGCCTTGTGAGAGGAGTGAGCTTTAGCTGGAAGTGGAGGAGGGGAAGAAGGAGGAGAGACAGAGGAAGAGGAGGTCTCAACGCCAGCCATAACCTTCTGGTACCACTTCTCTAAATCAAGAGCCGGGAGACACACAGGGCCTCCCAACAGCTGCTGTTCCATCTGGAGAGAGAGGCTGCGTGAGAAAGGATGAAGGACAAATGCAGCAAGAGGGACAGACGCACAGAGAAGAGGTTGAAGCATTCCTGCCTATGCCTGCACCACTCCCCCAGAGCTTAACGTGCAGACCCCTGGGATCCTGTGCACTCCCTGGCTAAGTCCTGGCAGCTGTAGGAGCCGTTTGCTGTCCAAGAGAATGTGAGAACTGACCAAGCACAAAGACCCCCTGCCCTGGGGGCAGGCAGGACAGTCAAAGGTGTGCAGAGTGTCAAGAGCCCAAGCTGCTGCTCAGCTCCATCTGCAGCTCACCCATTCCCATGCATCTCCATCACCTCCCAGAAAGAGTAAAAGGGCCCAAAGGGAGGGAAACAGGGCACCAACCTCTGCAGAGACGAAGGGAGAAGGGAGAGATGGAAGAGGAGGAAGAGGAGGAGCACAGCCTGAGGATGAAGGAGCCGGAGGGGTACAGCCCAGCAGGGAAGCAGCAGGGGTGTGGAGGCTGCCCAGGATACCTGAGAGCTGCTCAACAGTCACATACTGGGCAGAGAAAAGCAGATTAAACCAGGTTAAGAGCTAGGGCAAGCAGACACAGAGGAACAAGCAGGCAGCTCCAACCCCCACAGGAAGGTTCATTGTCCTGGGAGGAAAAGCAGTTGGTGCTGCAGCCACCCTGGGCACTGGGACAGGCCTGCTCAGCATCCTCCTCGCTTGAGACAAGCGGCCAGGACTGCATCCAGCAAACAAAGGGCTGCCCCTCCAACTGCTGGGCACCCGCTCTGCTCCTGCCCTGCCACTACATCCAGAGCAGGCAACAAGTGCACCCCAGCACGGAAACTGGGCAGCTTGAGCCTCTGCTCCCCACTCAGCTGCAGCCAGACAAGTGTCCTGACCCCAGAGAGGTGTGGGCTCCAAGCACCAGGACACGCACAGGGCCGCGTGTCGCAGCTGCCTCAGTGCCTGGGGTGCAGCGGGCAACCCGAGGGAGCAAACCCGAGCATGCTCTGGGCAGGTACCTCGTTGGCTGTGGGAGCTACAGCAAGCAAGAAAGAGCGCTGAGCAGCAGCAGGGGCAGCAGCAGAAGCTTTAGTGTCCAGGCTGGGGCCATGTGCATTACTGCAGAACCTGAAAACGTCAGACAGCCTCATGTACTCCTAGAAATCCACGGCAAGGGAGAAGGAGAAGAGTTAGACCCATGTGCTGGCACCATGGCACTGACTGCATAGTGGGAGCAAATCTCCCTGTGCATTCCTGCCCCAACACTGCCTCCCCAGCCCTGCCCTGCCGCCCATGGTGTCCCCGGTGTGCAGCACCCTGGGGTGCTCAAGCTGGGCTGGGTGTGCTGGCACCCTTGCTCCAGCCTTCAGTGCAGCTTTGCTGAGTGCCTACAAGGGGCAGGGATGCCTCAGGGTCTTCCACAGTCACTGGCCACAAGTCCTCCCTTGTGCAGCAGCACTGAATGAGGCTGTGCCAGGTTAAAACCCACTTCCTCATCATTTCTGAACCAAACATGCTAAAGTGGGGAACTTGCTCTTATTTTGGGAAAGACATGCTTTCAGGATGCTGTCAGGAGGTGTCCAGCCAGATGGCAAGCAGTGAGCAAGGGGGAAACCACTGCACCAGGATTAAAATGGGGCAGCAGCAGGAACTGGGATGCCTGGCAGGCTCAGGAGAGCACCTGGAATCAGGGACTGAGAGTTAATGAGCACAGCTGCCAGAGATCTGTATCATAAATGCTCCAGCCATGCTGCTGTGGGGCTGCCCTGCTGCCTTGGGGTGACACCAGTCCACAAAAGGGGTCTTGGCCAAGGAGGGGTAAGTAAGCAAGCACATGCAGCTAGTCCCTCTAGTTAGTTACCTCGTGTGCCTTGGGGTACGAGTAGGTGGCAGGAGAAGCTAAGGAGGCAGCTGCTACTGGCAGGGGGCTCAGGGGCTTAGTTCCCTCCAACAGCTCATAAGGTTCTGAGATGTGGAGGGTCTCCTGTAGAAGGGTAAAGGTCACATAGGCAAGGTGGGCACAGATAGCAAGGTGGCAGCAGCAGGAGTCACGCTGCAGGCAGGCATGAGGGGATTCTGCCATCTTGTGCCTCATAACCAGCAGCAGGTCAGGCAGTACCACAGGCCCCGAGGGCATCATGGTTCTGGCTCCCCGTTCAGAGCCACGAGCAAGGTAATGGGGCAACTCACTTCCACCTAAAAGCCCCCTGGACCAGCACCAACACATCCCCATGCTTGCTCTCCAACAATGATGGGACCCTAGGCAATCCTGTCCCACATGCTGCTCTGTTGCATTTCCCCTTCCTCCTTCCCAACCTCTGCAGCCCATGGAGAGACTTTGAGCAGCTGGAAGCACGTGGCTCTGGTCAGGAGGTACTTGGGAATACAGGAACTGCTGCAGAGCAAAGCTGGTGGTGCACAAGGCTCATCCTTGCTGATGGCAGTAGCTTACAAGAGCAGCTCTAGGCACCACAGCTTCCTCTACCCACTTACCTCTCGGAGAGCTGAGGACATTTTTGGGAAGCTCCTGCCACCTGTGACAAGCTGGTATCGCCTCTCCAGAGACACGAGCTTCTCCTTCTCCTGTGCATGGGGTGACAGGCCAGAGGCAGCTGATGGTTACTGGCACCCCATGGCCAGTCACCCCCCAAGCTCTTCCTGCCTGCCAGCAACCTGTCAAGAGCTGGCATGATCTTATCCCCTGCCCTGAGCACCCTCAGGAGTACACATCAGTCACACAATGCAGTCATGGCATTACCTTCTGCAGGAGCTGCAGGACACTGCTCCGCTCCCTGGCCAGGCGCTCGGCCTCCTGGGCACTCTGCAGCCGAATCTGGGCAGCCTGGGCATCCAGGGCAGCCACCCGCTCCTGGGGAGCAGGCAGCAGAGATGAGCTGGCTGCTGGTGAGCCACGGGATGCAGCCTGGCCATGCCCGACCGAGGGGCACAGCCCAGCCACACCGGACCTGCTGCTTCTTCCTCCTACCTTCCTGCGGGCAATGCTCCGGTGGCACTCAGCCCGGCTCTGCAGGAGCTGCTGGCCTCGTGCCTCGCGCTCCTCTTCGAGGTGGCTCTCTCGCTCCAGCTGCTGAAACTCCAGGTCCTCGAACAGCTTGGCCTCTGACTCCAGTGCCTCTGCCTCCTTTGAACACACAAGAGCACTGTGAGTGGATCTGACCCACTGGGTGGGCACCTCTGCATCCTGCAGGCAGGTCTCCCACAGCAAAACCTCCTGCCATGCCTCCACAATCTACTGGTGCTGGCCAGGAACAAGAGCTGGTAGCCAAGCCTGTCCCCTGTGCCTGGTGTGGGCAGGCAGCTTTGCCTTCTGCTGGGCATTGGAAACATGAGAGATACTGACAGGAGTGTCTGCTGTCAGAAGAAGGCAATGGAGGCACCCAGAACTGGCCAGGACAGAGCAGTCACCCCTATGAGAAGAGCTTGGCACAGCCCTCAGAGACCAGCTGCCCCCACTGAACCACATATGGGCTAAAGCTGTGCCCTGACAGGCAGCAAAACACCATGTGTAACCAACAGCAACACTGTGCCACCAAGCCCACAGGTGGCAAAGCCCCAGCAGACAAGCACCATGCTGGACAAGCTCCTGTGTGTCCTTCCAGCCTTCATGCACCGACAGCACGTGGCAGCACTCAGCCCCGCGCGTGCCAGTGCCACCCTGGCAGCCACTGTGCCATGCACCTCATGGGAATGTGTTTCACCCTGCTCCGTGACACGGGCAGCCAGTGACACAGCACTGATGTGGTGGCTTCCCAAGGGCTCCCACACGCACAGACTGCTCCATCACCCCCCTGACCACTCTACACCAGATCCTCATCCATCGAGTGCCTGGCTGGAGCAGGCTGTGGCAATGTGGGTTTATCTGAGCAGGCACTAGCCATGGGCTGGGGAAAGTCAACCACTTCCAGAAAATACCAGGTAATATGAAAAATTGCTGAGGACTAGCAGTAACATGGATCAACATCACTGTGTAAATAAACATTCTCAGGAAATAGCTGGAGGCAGCCAGGTGGAGATGCAGCAGCCCCCAAGACTCCCCAGCCTGCCCTCCTTTGCAGGCAGGGTCCATGCTCGTGCCCTGCCCGGTCTCGAGCAGCTCTGCCGAGCCGGTGCCGAGGAGCTCTGCCGAGCCGGTCCCGCGCCCCGGGCCCGGGCGAGCGGCAAGCTTACCAGGACGATGGTGCCCGGTGCCAGCCGCCTCCAGCCCGGGTGCGACGCTCCCAGTGCAGCCCCGGCTGGCAGGGAAGAGCTGGCCTAAGCTGGAGCGGAGGGAGGTGGGCCATGGTCCAGGAGGGGTGGGGGGAGACACTGACCCTTCGCATCTGCTCCTGCAATTGCTCCCGCATTGACTCGGGGCACTTATCAAGGTGGCTCTTCGACTCATGGTAAAGCGCCTGGAGTTGCTCTAGCTCCTTCCTTTCAGCATCAACCTTTGCCCTTTCCTGAATAAGGGGAAAAAAAAAAAAAAAAAACAAAAAAAAAAAAAAAAGGAAAAGAAAAGGAAAAAAAAAGAAGACACACTTCTCAAATGGGCGCCATGCAGAAGCTGTGAGTTAGAAGAGGGGCTCAGCTGGAGACAGAGGGGGCTCAGGAGAAGGAGCATCATGGCATCTAGAGGGGGATCGAGAGATCAAGAGATACAGGAGCCAGCCGAGCAGTGTTAGAAGAGTTACAGCCAACCCCTGACCTCAGCTTTGTGTTTCCAAAAACAAACTTGCAGGCAGCAAAAAGATCAACGCTGATAGTATGGTTCAAGTCATCCCAATCCTGCACATGGCTGCATCACAGTAACCACTAGCTGGCTTTGTTAACTGCTACCAGTTAGGAACTGCAGGTCCTGAATGCAGCCGGAGGTCATGGACCACCCTCATCCCTTAGAAGGAGAGGGCAGCACTGGGCAGCAGTGAAAGCAGGAGGCTGTGGTCCTGCAAGAGATGCTCAGGCTGTGATAAGTCAGCAGCAGAGCAGACACTGACTCCTGGGCCTGGGAGGAGGGGCCTGGCCACAGGAGCAGTAAAATGGGGCCAGCAACACGGGACTGGCATAGGGGAACCACCCACAGGTTTGGCAGTACCATATGGGGGCTTGGCATTGAGAAATGCCTGCTGCAAGGAACCCTGTGCTCCACACAGAGATGAGACATCATGAAAAGGGATGAGGGGACATGCTGGCAGGGAGGCAAGGCTGGCACAGGCAGGTGCCCCAGGAGAGTAGCTATGATTGCCTGGGCGCTCCTGGACATGCAGAGATGTCAGAGGTGATGGTGGAGCTCAGTGCCGGCCGGCACTGTTAGTGTGAGTAGTGCAGATGGGCTAGGAAAGGGGGTGGTCAGGTCAGCAGAGAGGCTGGGAGAGTGCTTTCCCTGCACTCCTCTCCTGGTTCTGCATGAGGCTGTCCCTGGCTACAGAAGATGCCTACAAAGGGCTAGAAGACCTAAACCAGAACAAAACCCCCAAATGCTGTAGGAGCACCACTGGCAGGCACCAATGGCCACTCTGCCAGGCCACAGGCACACCAACAGCCCTGGCATCCACAGCCATGGGGCTGGCCAGACCCCAAGGACCCTGATGTCACATGATGGTGACACAGAGCAGCTGGTGGGACCTTGGCATAGGCTGCACAGGGACAATGGCCTCAGGCAGCAGGGAACCGGATCCCAGCAGCTCTCCCACAGCTCTCCTGTCCACGCCACACTGCCTGCAAGGCTGTGGGATAGCCAGCAACCAGCAGCTGGGACAAACGTGCCACACACGCAGCGTCATGGGTGCCTTCTGGCAGTAACTGCACCACAGGCAACACTGGGGGAAGGGGGCCAGGACCCCCTCCTAAAGCCACCAAGCTAAACACCTGCAGTGGTTTCCCAGCCACCTCCAGCAAGCCGAACACTACAGCAACAGCTGCCATCACACACGGAGGCGCAGCAGAGTGAGGTGACTTGCTGCAGCTCCCTAGCGAGGACAGGTAACGGGGAGAGCCAAGGCCTCTGCTTCGGCACTGCCCGCTGCAGGCAGTGGCCATCTGGAAAGCCTCACACCACAGCCTCCCTGCCAGAGCAACAGGCAGCACTTGAAATGCTCCCTGAGCATTGGCTGCGCTCTCCTCCAGCAGAGCTGCTCGACCAACCCCAGGCAGACAGACAGATCCCCCCACAATGCACGCCATAGGGGCTGCTTCCCAAAGCCTCTGCAGAGCCCAGAGAACACATCTGCAGGGGAATGCTGCAGCTTGAGGCATTGCAGTGCTGGCTGTGAGTGCCAGGGAGGTATGGCACAGCTAGTGCCAATGGGAACCTGTGACTGGGCTCACCTTGTCCCGCTCCTTGCGGATGCTGGTGTCCAGGCTGGAGAGCTTCTCCTTCAGCTGCTGCACCGCTTCCTGCTCCTGCCGCAGCCGGACCACCTCTGATTCCCGCTCACCCTGCAGCAGTGCCTGCTCCATCTCTGCCTGGACAGCCAAAGCAATATCAGGACTGCAGCTCCAGCTGGATCATACCCTTAGGATTCAGCGCTGACTGGTGAGGGCAGCAGGCAGCAGGGGACCCAGCAGTGTCCCCTGACCTCTCACCTCTTGCGATGTCTCCTGCAGCTGCTGCTCCAGCTCCTTGACACGACCCTTCAGCTGGTCCAGGCGTCCGAGGACACCGGCACGCTCCTCCTCCAGCCGCTGTGCCTCCTTGGCCCGGGGGCCTGTCAGCTTCTCGTGCTGTGGAAAGGGCTGATTGGCATGGCACAGTGCAGTGTGGCATGGTAACAGAGTGGCACAGATGTCCCCCTACCTCGTGGTGGGTACTCTCGGTGCTGCTGCACTCCTCCTTCAGGTTCTCCTCATCTGACCTCTCCACGCTCTCCCTCTGCTGCAGCTCTTCGACAGCATGGCCCAGAGCCATGGCACTCCTGGGCACCCACTGGCCAGCATCTGTGTCACCAGCCAGGAGCCTGTGCATGTCACCTGGCTCGGTGCCGTCTGTCTTGGTGTACTCAGCCACAGAGGTTCAGGATGGTCTCCAGGCGTTGTCGCTCCTGTAAGAAAGAGCGGTCCCCATCCAGCACGTGCTGTGGCAGGAACAGACAGAACCCTGTGCCAACGGTGGCCACCAGAATACGGACCTGCACGCTGGCATGGGCAGGCAACGCTACAAAGCACAATGCCGCCAGCCCGACCCCACAGCAGAGCCAGGCACGCGATGTGCTGGGAGCTGAGACAGACTAATTGCAGGCAGCAGTGCCGGCTGCCGAGCGCGCCGCTATTTCCAGGCGGTGACTCAGGCTGCCTGCGCCAGGCGTGAGTCAGGGCTGAGCAAACACAGCCCTGGCGGCTCGGCCACTGGCAGGGACACAGCAAACCTCATCCAGGCAGATACCAGTTCCATAAAAACCCCATCAGCCCTAAATATAGATGCAATGTCCACAGAGCCTCGGCACCACCACCAGCAGATGGGCCCTGGCAGGGATGGACAAGATGTGGAGAGTTTTGCAAAGGCAGGGGCACCACCATTTTGGCCAGTAGCTCTGGGGCCATGCCAGCCCCACCAGCTTCCACAGGCTGCTGTAACTCAGGAGCTTTGTATTCCCAGAGAGCTGCTGAGCACTGATGGCTCCTCCTGGCCATAATCCCCCTGGATAAGCCGGCAGCCTGGCAGCTGTGGTAAATCCCCAAGAGGCAAAGGCCAGGTTTCAAAGCAGCAAACAACAACTGCTATTTGCAAGAGGGTGTCCCACACTCAAATGTGTCCCCTCCCAGCCCCAAGGCTCACCAGGCGCTCCATCTCCTGCTCCCGAACCCGCTCCTGCCGCTGCCGCCGATGGTACTCCAGCAATTCATCCTCATTGTCACTGATCTCAGTGATGCTGTTCTTGCGCTCCCGTGACCCCACTGGCAGCTGTGGGTCCCCCAAAGGCTTCCTGGGGGTGCGGGGGCTCTGCCGGGGCGAGGGCACAGCTGGGGAGCCCAGCCCGTATGCTGGGCTCAGGCAAGTACTGAAACTGGGACGGCGTGTGGGGTTCTCTGACAGCAGCGGGGGTGAAGGACCCCCAGCACCTTTTGACTCCTCTGGGCCCTTGCGCCTGGCACGGGGACTGCCGGGCACTTCCCTGCCCAGCCGTGGCTGTGGGGAGGGGGTGTCAGGGGCCGCCCGGGGGCTGGCAGCCCGGCGTGACAAGGAGGGACTCAGGGGAGGCAGCTCCCGCATGCTCTCGATGTTCCTCCGGGCAAGCCGTGGGCTCTCGGGGAGCTGCAGCCGGGTCTCTGGGACCACCCTGCTACTGCTGGGCTGCCGGCTCGGGGCCAGAGAGTCCCGTGGCTCCCGGAAGGGACTGGGGGGCCGCTCCTGCAGGGCCACCCGTGGCCGCGGGGCCACCCTGGGCGCCAGCCGGGGGCTGCCCACCCTGTGGTCCCCGAGCCTCTCGGCTGGCCAAGGCTCACTAGAACCGCCAGCAGGCAGAGCGGGTGGCTGGACAGTATGGTTGTAGCTGGAGGAGCGAAGTGGGAGAGGGGGCGGCACGGCTGGGCCTTGCTCTTGGCTGCTGAGTGAGGGGCTGGTGTAGCTGCTGCTGCTGGCTGGGGAGGAGAGGGGAGAGAAGTTCTCATAGCTGGAGCCCCCTGAGGCGGCCCCAGGGCTGGATGGAGGGGACAGGAGGCAGCGCCCACCCCCATTCACCACAGGGGAGAGGGGGGATTGGCCACAGGCAGGCGGCTTCTGGATGCCGGGGGACCCTGACTCCTCCAGCACCAGCGAGTCCATGATGTCCTGCAGGTCCTTCTCGATGGAGCTGACAAGGGAGCTGTGGCTGTGACACCCACGCTCTGACAGCTGGTGGCCACCATTCACCAGGGCCTCGGATTCTGCAGGGAAACAAAGGAGAAGGCATCGGTGTGGTGCGACTCCGCCGCAGCCCCTGCCTGGGCTGGGTCCTACAGAGCAGCCTGGCATCATTCTTCCACTCAGCCTTGCAGAGTCAGAGCTGGACTTCAGCCCCTCTCTGCTGCTCCCCAACCTGCCTGCACCCCGCTGCCACCCTTTCCCATGCCAGCTGGGGAGCCGGGATAGGGAGGAGGCTGGAATCCCGCTAGCCCCATCACCCAGGAGACAGAAACCTGAGAGGACAGTCGCCCTCCCTGGGCTGCAGCTCCCTGCTCCACTCCCTGGAGAGCAGCTGCCCTCACCACCCCCTGGCACCCACCCCTTGCCCCCTGCAAGCTCTGGCTTCCCAGCAAGGGGTCAGAGATGCAATTGCCAAAAGCTGCTGACCTGCAGCATGTCCGGACCCACCACCACGTTGCCCGCAGCCTCCCCACACCCCGGCCAGGGTGCCCCTGCCTGGGTTGCCCCGTCCTCCCAGCGCAGCACCGATGTGCCTGTCACTCAGGGGACCAGCGAATCGCAGCAGGCAGGACAGCATGCCACCCGGGCTGCGTCACCCCTTGGCACTCAGCAGCTCCCCCACAGCAGCTGGCACTGCCTTCATGCCTGGAAAGATGTGCCACAGCCCTGTCAGTGTGATCCCACCCAGTCCTGCATGGCAGAGTGAGCATGCAGGGCCCACACGGGATGGTGCATGGTTGCATGATGCTCCTCAGCCACAGCACCTCCCCATGTCCCTCCTCCTGTCCCCCAGCTGCAGGCATGCTGCCTTCCAAACACACACGTGGCACGGGAAGGCAGCCAAGCTCCTCTCCCTGTGCCAGGGTGTGCTGGTGAGGGCAGGGATAAGGGCTACCAGCCCAGGGATCAGTGCTGGGGATTTGGACATCCCCAGGAACCAAGCACGATACTGGCACCTGGCCCATTGCCCCACAGACATGCAGACACAGCAAGGTAAGCTCATGAGATGAAGGGCAGCAGCCAGAAGAATGGCCTTCACAGCCCCAGCACAGCCACTCCAGCACAAACACCCGTTTTCAAGCAGTGGGGGGCTCCGATGGGCAACGGCTCTGCCACAGCCAGGCTGGGCAGAAGTGAAAGCCATGCCTCAGTGCCCCCACAGACAACCTCTCTGAGGTGATATTAATCATTAACAAATACCAGTGCAGCTGCCATACCATGCCAAGCTGACGGATGGCACACTGCGTCCGGGTGTGAGCCCGAGTGCAACTGGACAGGACTGGGAGAGCATTGGGAACTGGGAAGGATGATGGGTCAGGGAGCACTTCAGCATCTGCCCTGCCCCACCTGGGACAAGGGGGATCACCTACTTGCTGGTAGCCCATAGAGAGCCGACGGGCTTCTGCCACCCGCTGGGATCATGCTCTTAATCCACTTGGCCTCAGCAGGGTGGTTGAAGCGGAGGAAGGTGGCCTGGCCCAGGCAGATGGTGCACCCTTGGGAGAGAGGAGAGAGGGTTCAGATGCTAGCCGGCAGTATCAGAGTACTCCTGGAAAGTGCAGGGAAGCAGTTGGGCGCTGCTTGCCCTAAGATGCGCCCTCGGGAAGGCGGTGGGCTCCTGCTGTCAGCAGAGGCTTAGGGGGAGGCTGAAATCCAGGTCACTCCACAGCAGCTGCCGGCAGCGCATCGCAGGCGCAGGCACAGCTGGGGTCCCCGGCGGGGCCGCGGGGGAGCTGGCGGCACTCCAGGGCTTGCGTGGCTGCCAGCTGCAGACAAGACAGCTCCTGTCGCTGCTTGCAAAGCATCTCTGCTTGGCCCAAAGCAGCAGCCCTCTTGGGGCAAGGCTGACGAGCAGCGTCGAGGAGGAAGGCACCTCAGGAAGGGAAGGGGAGGCAAGTCGTGGGTGCTGGCTGTGTGTTCACCTGCTGCCCGTGGTGCTGGGGAGGCATGTGCTGGCAGCGAGGAGCATCAGGCGGCTCGCAGGCGGCTCGCTGCCGACACACCCCACTTTGAAGCGCCTGCCAGGCCTCTGGGGAGAGGTTCGCTCCATACCAGCAGCCGCTGCTGAAAATCCCTCGCCGGAGGGGACGCGTTTTTTGGAGCACCCGTCAGCCCAGCTCAGAGCCAGGAGAGCGAGAGGCACTACGGACTAACTGCTATCGCCGTGGTGAGGGCCTGGTGCCCTGTCTGGGCGGCAGGGCGGGACAGCGTCCTGCTGAGCCCGGCTCAACGAGGGCATCCCTGCCTGCCAGGAGCAGCGCCGACGCCCAGCCTGGCAACGGAGAGATGCACCGCTGCCCTGCGCCTTCCTTCGCCCGTGCCGGCATCAGTGGAGCCACAGGTCGCCCCAGCACAGCGAGTAAGAACCAAACCGCACCACGAGCCTGACAGCCCCGCAGCCCAATCCCGCGTGGCCCTGCACAGATGCTGTCCCTGCCTGCCCCCGGGGACCGGAGGATGAGCGGCTCGGCTGACACCTGCCCGCACCCCGCAGCCCACCACGGCCCTCGCTGCCGACTGTGGGACCGGCGGGACCCGGCAGCACCCCGGGCCGCCGCCGGAGCGGCTCCCATTGTCCCCGCGGGGCGGCCGCGGCAGCGCCCACGCGGGTGTGTCCCCCTTCCCCGAGGGACGGGGCAGGCGCGGGGACCGCAGTGCCACGGCCTGCGGGGCACCACGGAAGGCTCCGTGACCCGCGGGGGAGCGGGAGCGAGCCCCGCCCGGCGCGGACACGCGTGGCCGCCGCTCGGCACTCACCTCACCGCCGCCGCCGCCACCGCCCGGGCAGCCGCACCGCCCCCGGGGAGGGACGGGGGCCGGGCCTCGCCCGACAGCCCTCTCCGGGAAGGAGCAGGAGTGTGGAGGGGCGGGGATCGCCTGGAAAGGGCCTGAGGCTTTGTCCAGCTCCCTGGGAGCGGCCCCGGGGGCCGGCTGGGTCCTGTAGCCACGCAGGCGGACCAGCAGTGTCCCGGCAGCCATCGGTCGGGAGGACACTCGAGGTGTTTTCGTCTGTCATCTCCCTCCCCAAAGCTGGCTCAGCGTGTCCGCTGTTCTTCCAAGCCCACCCGGATCTTTCCCACCTCACTTGACACACGCAGCAATGCCAGCTCTCAAATCGTGCCAGGACCTGGCAGGTTTCCCAGCACGGAGCATAGGGGCCAGGAGTATGCTAGCTGGGATGTGCAGTTACTGGATGGCTCCTCAAACACCCCAATACTCAACAGCACAGCTCCACAGGCAAAGGCTCTGGTGAGCCAGTCATCTCCTACCTTGGGTGAGGTGCATGGGCCGCTGGAGTGGCACGCCGTCAATGGCACAGGCGTTGCCACAGGGGTGCAGGGTGAGTGTCCCTCGCACATTCTCGATGTAGCAGTGCTGGGGCGCCAGCCCGGGGCCCTGCAGGATGATGTCTGTCGCAGCCGTGCCAATGGTGGTCCTCCCTGCCAGCAGAGAGGGCGTCTCAGTGTCTCTGTTACCAGCGTGCCCCTGGAGACCCCCTGGCACTCACCTTCCTCCAGGGGCAGGAGTGTGATGGCAGTGCTGAGTCGACCGCTGCCCAGGCTCACCAAATGTGGTTTCTCTGTCTGCACTTTCAGCCCCTTGCCCGTGTCAATCAGGTCCAGGGAGCTGCTCTGTAGGAGGAGAGAGAGAGATGCTCACAGCTCCTGCAGCTGCAGCCCAGTCCCCTGCACTGCCCACCTGGCTGAGCTGCTCCAAAACGGCCACATAGCCAAGATCAATGCCCAGGCACAGCCACATGCCAGCAGGACTGTCCAGGAGAGGAGGGCTCTCCTGCCTGTGCTACCTATCCCAGGAAGCTGAGGCGAGCTGCCACGGGAGCTGGAGATCCATGGGGCTTGGGCTGCATCTAAGAGGATCCAAGCTGCCAGCCGCTTAGCTCAATGGGCTTTGCTGAGGATCCCGTAATAGGATTGGCTGAGACTGAGGAGAAGCTGGAGAGCAGTGCCAGTGCCGGTGCTAGGGCTGGCTGCAGAGGTGGACTCCCAGCCAGATTCCCCTATTCCCAGAGAGCAGAGGCCCTGTGATCCTGTGTGCTCACCTGGATGACAGTCTGGACTCTGTGGCTTGAGCTGATGGGGGTCCTGCCAGATGTCTCCATGGTGCCCTCTTGGAGATGTCGGATGGTACCGGACATGGGCTGCCAGTAGAAACAGAATGGCAGTACGAGTGACCACACTGGTCATGGCCTTTATGTATTTTCCCTCGCACATCCCGGACAGCAGCCTGTGCACAAACCCTACCCATTCCAAACCAGCATTTGCCACCAAGAGGATTACCATCCTGAGCTCCTGTCTTCACCATGTCAGCAGCTGCCTGAAGCCAGCGAGCATCCCTGCCTGCCAAGGCACGCATCCTACCTAGGCACACATCACCATCCACCCAGGGAGACCCACACATGTGCCAGGTGTCAGGACAAGACACAGCCTGGGAAGGAAAACTAAACTTGCAGTCAGTTTTGGGGGTATGGTGTTGGAAATGCATGCTTTAAATGCCAAGAGCTGTGGGCAGCCAGACCCCAATGGCTGTCCTCGGAAAAGCACACGCAAGCACAGGTTCTGGCTGTCCCCAGGAACACCTGCCTGCCATGCATGGCAGAGCTGTCCATGCCACCAGTGCCCAGTTCTGGCACCCCGGCACATGCCTCTGCTCCCACACAGTTCAGCAGCAGCTCATAGTGCACACGCCCAGCTGAGTGTTTGGTACCCCTGTGGCCGGCAGGCAGAGCCACCACCCATGGAACAGCCATGCTACCACACATTCTCTGCGTGAGTGGGAGGCAACTCGAGGAGGAACAATTTCCATCACCCGGCGCTCACGCCATGTCGGGATGCTCCGAGGATCTAAATTTACCGTCTGCTGCTCCCTACGTCCCTCCCTTCCGCCCTGGACTAGCTGACTGGGGCTTAACCCTTCCTGGGCAGTGCAGATAGGAAGCGCTCCATCTCCGTTAGGAGACGCTGGTCCTGGGGCCGCCAGGAGGATTCTCGGGCTCGGCTCTCGCCAGCATCGCCGAGTGTCCAGCCAGCCCCTGGAGGGACCCCCCCGCTCGGCCAGCACCGGGCTCAGCTGCGGGGGCGAGAGAACGGCTATTACACACTGCGGAAAAAATGAAACGCTGGAAAACACCAGGCGTGAGATCCAGGACCTGGATGAAACCCGGGTGTCTCCTGCAACAGCAGGACTGGCTGCCCCACAGCGAGGGCTCTGTGGGACCACAGCCTCGCCACGTGGGATGGAGACAGCTCAGCTGGGACAAGGGGGGGCGTAGAGATAAGGTACCCCGAGAACAGTTCGCGAGTGCTTGCCGGCTGCCGAGGCAGAATCCCTGCTCTCCCTTACCTGCCACCTGGCCCTGGTGCCGAGCGCGACCCTCTGCGGCAGGCTGCCCATGTTCCCCAGGCACTGGGGTGCCGCACTTCCCAGCATTTGGAGACCTCGGGCCCAGCCGAGCCCCTGCCTCTCACTTACACCTACGTCCTGTCACAATGCTCAGGAAGGAGGAAAAGCCAGGAGGGGCCAGGCTACTGAAGAGGAAGGGAGCGGGGCCAGGGTGGGATCTTTGTCGCTGTTAACTCCTTCCCAGCATGGCTGTACTGGTGAGACCTGGTGAGAACCATGGAGGACCCCCATTCCAGCCACTTGGAGGATTGTCTCGGATTCTGCTGCCTGCTGCCCAAACTCTCCACCCATCCCCGATCCCCACTCCAGAAGCAGCCCTGCCTGCCCATGAGCTGGAGGGTGACCCTGGCATCCCATCGCTTCCCAACGCCCCCAGTACCGCAACATTGCCCTCCAACAGAGCCCCTCACCTGCCTCGCCAACACTCGGGGAACGCCCGCGTCACCCCAGCCCGTCCTGCTGGGGATGCAGCCCCTCTCCAGCCAGCTCTGCTGCAGGAATGCGGGGCGGGAGCGCGGCCACCCCAGCCGGCGCCCCACTGCTGGGACGGACAAGGCGGCCTTTCTTCTCCCACCGCCGCCTGCAGAACGCGCCGCTTGTTCCCGCCGTGGGAAGTGGTGAAGGCAGCAAATGCCAAGGGGTCGGGCTCGGTTACCACTGAACAGCCCACGGTCCTCGTGCACCCCGCGCAGGGCAGTCTACTCAGCCCCGGCCTCCTGGAAGACAAAAGCCCCTTTCTCCACCTGGCACAGCCAAAAGCCTCACCTGGGAGGATGCCCAGTCTCACCAGTGTGGGGGCCCTACCAGTGCAGTGCCAGCTGCACACAGACATGCTGCCCCAGCGTGCTCCTGGGGAGCCCCTCCATCCCACTGCCCACAGGCTGCAATCTGCCTGCCTGCCCCAAGCCCACACGGGCAGGGTGCTCTGGGGGTCCACTCCTGTCTGAGCTGCTGTTGCCCACCCAGACCCAAGCTGGGCACAGCACATCCTGACTCACCCCACTCCAGCATGACCCCAGAGCTGCACTGTGAGCCCCTGACCAGGACACGGCCGGGGCAGGGGCATTCAGCCTGTGCTCATGAAGGAGCACACACTGACAGGCCATGCCATGCAGTATCAGCCATGATGGGATGAAGTAGCTGCATGGCAGAGACAGGCACACGGCATCCCCTCCATGGGCTCTCATCCCCACTGTGGCTGGCCAGATGAGTCACAGAAGGAAGCCCGAGTGACCGAGCTAAAGGGTGCACACAGCGGAGCATTGCAGCCTCCAGCCAACTTGGCTGCCTGCTTGCTCCCCATCTGCTAATGCACTTAGGGTGCACTCACCCCTTCCCACACCCTCTGCCCTAGTAAACAACTGGCCCTTCCGCCGCGCCGCTGGGAAGGGGGAGCCTGTGTCCTGCACAAAGAGGCGAGTGAAGAGCCTGTTCCTGGCCTCTGCCTCCTGGTCTGGGGCTGACCGTGAGTGAAGGGAGACCCAGCCAGCCCCATCCCACCCAGGCAAGGGATGGTGGGGGCTGCACTGCGGTTGCTGGGACAACACCATGATCCTGGCAATAACACCACCATAAATCAGCCACCAGACAGCTCCGGCGGGAGCTGAGGAATCCTGGCCACACCCGCTGATTTCATCGCTCTGGAGAACTGCTCTTGCACCACTGCAGCACAGCTGTGCTCCGGACGAGGCCCTGCCTGCATCGTGCTTCAGGGTCTCACAGACTGGTGGATGCTCACCGTGTGCCCTGCCTGCTGCACCCAGCACTCCCCCAGGTGAGCCAGCTCCAAGGGCCGGCAAAGCATACAGACCCAAGCACTGCTGCAGCCCAGGCACTGACCCTCGCATCAGCACGTGCCTCCAGACATCACAGCACAGACACAAGCTCCAGACCCCTCACAAGACTGCACACCAAATGCTCTCGTATCAAAATGACAATTCCTCACCTGCAGGCCAGAGGTTCAGCTCAGCAAGGAGCATCTGCAACTTCCACCGACGACATCTTGGGGACCATGACACAGGATGGGTTTGGTGGATCTTGAATCCAACCAGGGCATGAACCCACCACCCAGCCCTTTGTTAGTTGGGAAAGGGGTGGGGTGAACCTCACCTTTCCAAATCAGGCATTGATCACTCTCCTCTTTCTGGTTGCCACCAAGGATCCCTTTCCATTCAATACTGTGGTTCCCATTCCCCTGCATGGTGCTCTGCCCCTGCTGGCCCATGCACACCAACATATGCCACCCCACAGCAAACACAGATGTATGAGGAATTATCAAAAAGTACTCAGCCATGCTGCCTTGCTGCTGCCTGTGGTGCTCAGCCAGGGGACCTGCCCCCTCTGCCCAGTGCTCAGAGAGGGCTGGGGGCTGGCAGGGCAGCTAGAGGAATGGGAGAGACAGTGACCCTTCAGCACAACAGCTGGACCTTCTGGGGTTGCCAGATTCCTCTGGCTTTCTGACAGCAGCTGAAGGGGCTGTGGCAAGAGTGTGGCAGGAAGCTGGAGTAAACAAGGTCCAGCCATGGACAGGAAGGCTCCAGCAGGACCAGTACTGTTCCCAGGCTCCCCAAGAAGTGTCAGAGACAGCAGTGGTGGCCATGGGCCAAGCACCGTCTCATCCTGTGACTGCCCGTGAGCTGCATCAGGATCTGGGGATGGGAGAACCTTGTCTGGCTGCTTTCAGGGCTCCCACACCAGCAAACCCACCACTGACGTGGACCACTGGATCCGGAACCAGCTCCCAGCCCACCCACACACCACCAAAACATTGTGCAATGATTGGTTTTATGGCTGACCGTGTTTTTCCTACTTCCCTATCCCCTGCTCCTTCCTTGCAACCCTCCTAAGGCAGCCCAGGGAGCCCCAACATGTCCCACCTAGCCCCAACACGGGCCAAAGCAGCCGAGCTTTCCCTTGTACCCACCTCCCAGAGCTGCCTCTGAAGCACCAGGGAATCCTCGCGTTACAGGACACGCTGACCCCAGCCCCACAGGCTCCCAAAAGGGTCGCCTGGAGCACAAGCTGGGGGAGTGTCCCACGCCACGCCAGCGGCTGCTCACCTTCGCTCCCCAGTCCGGCGGCCCGTCCCGTGCTGTCCCGTGCTCCGCCGCCGCTCCGCCGTGTCCCCGCCCCAGCCGGTGCCGGCACGTCCCGCCCCCGCCTGGCCGGGGCTGACCGCTCCCGGCTCCGGAAGGACCTCACGACCCCCAGCCAGCTCCTTTAACAGTACTTTATTTGATTAAAGACTCAATTCTCTGTGTACACTGGAATGTGCTCTATTCCCTAGGCCAGGATCATACAGGGTTACAAAAAGTGGGGACCTCGGCTCTGCTTAAGTATCACCCTCCAATGAATGTAAGGAAAAAAAAAAAAGCTCCTTGGATGCCTGAACTAACTTTGACTCGATTTTAAAAATCATACAGACAAGGAGCTCTGGAACAGGACTGGGTTAATGGGATTCATTGCCTACTTTGCTTAGGGGAGAGTGCTTGCCCTCTCAGGACAGGACCATGGTTGATTTCCTCTCAGGTGCTGCCAGCAGAGGAGAGACCACAAACTTCTTTGGCAGAGGACCCCATGGGGCCCATGACAGGCTGGCTGTCTCTCTCAGAGCACAGTACACGCACTTTTAGGACCGTTACCTTGCACCTGCACTCGGGCCCGCTGGCCGCAGAGGTGAGCTGTGCCCAGGGGCAGGTGACACTCATTACAGGCCCCAGCCATGCAGGTGAGATGAGTGTGAGGGGAGAACAGGTCTCTGAGATGAAGCAAATAAGACTAGTGAGGCAGCAGTAGGAGAAATGGCTCGGATCAGTCCCCACATTACCTGGAAACCAGCATTTCCTTCTCCCACACCTGCCTGTGCTGAACCAACACTGGTCTGAGACAGGCCAAGTAAGTCAACCAGGCTCCACAGCTACTTTCACCCAGGCAGACAAAGCCCTCAGCCTCCCCAGACACCAAAACAGCCTTGCAAAGGATATACAGCTGGTTCTAACCAACCTAAACTTCCTCCAAAGCCTGGCCTGAAAACGGCTACAGAAGACAGTGAGGACACAGTCCCCTCTGGACACTCTCCCCGCTGCAGCAGGAACCAGACCACCTGGAGCTGGGCCGTTGCCACACAGCAGAGCTGGAGCAACAGCAGTAACTGTGTGGGGCAAAAGGACTGAACCCCTGGGTTCCTCTTCCCCACCCTGTGCCCCTGCCATGATCCCCCCCCACCTCTGAGGCCAAGGTCAACTTGCTCAGCTTCCAGATGGAAGAGTCAGGACCTGCAGGTGGCCCCACACATGAGAACCAGAGGCCAAGGAGAAATTAAAATGGCAGCACCAACAACGGAACAGCACGTGATGCTTCAGGGAAGAATGATGTCTGGTCGGCTCTGGGCTGAGCTCCAAGCATCTCGGGGTGGGTGGGGGAAGCATGTCAAAGTCAGGCTCTTTGTGGAGATCTTGCTTTTTTGCCAGTCGGTAAAAATCTGCCAAAGAAATTTGTGGCCTTTCCCCCCATGAGCACGTCACTTCTCTGCAAAAAATGTCCGTGACCCCGCAACACTGTAGATGGCAGACAGAGCCACGCATCTTAGCAGAGGGGGCTGTGGCGTTCCCAACATTCAGAATAAACGTCGGCCTCGTTTTTTTAATTTAAAAATTTCTTCCATTGTGCGTCACTATGTCTGGCATTACAGGATTTCGTACTTGTCCACCAGGAAGGTGGTTTCAGTGGAAAACCTTACAGGGCTGTTCCCGTCTACCTGGGTCACTTTGGTAACCTGTGGAGACAACAGGCAACATTAGCTCAGAATGGAACATCACTCCCTTACTGCAGCGATGCCATGCTTCCCAACGCCATGAGAGCACAACCGACCTGCTACCCTTAAACCACAGCTCAGCCCTGAAACGAAGATCTTTGTTCCCAAGAACCCTGAAAGAGGGGAGTGATTTTCTGTGGTAACTGTGTCTCCACTGAGGAGTGAATCAGCAGCCACTAGCTACATTTCAGTGGAGACAGACACCTGTATGCCAAGCAGTGTTTTGGCTACAAGGCTGATGAATTCTCCAACGAAGTCTGAGGGGAATTAATGACTACTCAGAGACTTTAAGACACAATTGAAACTTCAGGCAAACTCCACAAAGTGTCAGCTGCCAGCTCTGTCTGCTGGTGCTCCTGAATCCAGCTGTCTCAGAGGCAGGTTAATGCCAACCCTTCAGCCATGGCCAGTGGGACAGCATGGTGTCCCTGCCGCACGGCCAGTGTCAGCCAGCCAGGAACCGAGGCAAGGGTGACATCCCACCTGTGGAACACAAGCAGTGACCATACCTGTATGTTGCAATAGTTCTTTTTGGAGACGAAGGAGACCTGCACCGGGAAGAAGTCGTTTGGCTGCCCTGCTATGCTAAACTCCAGGCTACCACTCTTGTTTTTGGCATCTATCACCGGCAGGCACCACTCAAGGAGGTTTCTCCGGCTGTCGTGGCGATACTCACCATCAATCTCCCCAATCACTGGGGCACCAACACCAGACCTAGAGCAGGCAATGAGAAGTGACAGTAACTTCCCTGCACAGAGCTAAGGAAATGCCTCCAACGCCCATTGGCTTGGCCAGATCCATAAAACAGGGAGGGGAAGGAGGTGACGGGACTCATTAGTGCTGCATGATAAGGAGCATGACTTACGGCAGTGGGATGGTGATGGTCACATCATTCAGCTCTAGGCTCTCCTCTTGCAACTCATATTCAATGTTAACATCACAACTGTTCCCACTCTCTGATGGCCAGCAGTTAACTGAAGAAACAGAGACAGTATGTGAACCATGCAGGCCTTTCATGTGGAATAGGCTTTCACAAGATGATGCACTTCAAAATGCCAGTGAAGTCACCCTCAAGCTGACTTTAAGAAAAGCTCTCTATTTTCCTTGAGGTGTTACAGAAAACACACACTGCCAAGGACAGGCACTATCCAACAGATACACCTAGTATCTCCAAGGCCTCACAACATGCCAGGCTCCAGGCAGCCCAGCTGCTGCAAGGTGGCTACCAGGACCTCATGGACAATCACCAGCTTCTTCTGCCCAAGCCCCAAGACTTGCACTCACTTGTCAATGGAATGAAGGACTCTTCTGTGGTCTGCAACCTCCACTTCAACACGCCCACATCGCTATTAATAGGGAATGACTTCTCTGGGTTCTTCAAACCGATCTGTGACTCTGTAGTGAAGAGCTTCTTGTCCACATTCGGGTGAGTCTGAAAGAGGAAGACATGCCCAGACTGTAGGTCTAAGCCCAGGGACAGAACTATACATAGTGCAGGTTCTACCAGGACAGGCCTACACATTCCAGTGTTTGCTTTGTCAAAACACACATCAGGTTAGGTTTCCTCCTGGCTCAGAAGCCCATCTGAAGCACAACTGCTTATCAACCTGGGATTCCTTCCAGAAAATGCTAATCTGACAAGAAGGATCCCCACCACTTGTCTTTCTTACAAGCACCTGCATCAGATACTTAAGCAATGCAGGCTGGTATCTACAGAACAACTACAAGTCAAAGACCATCCTGACTGTTTACAGCAGACATTTCAAGAAAAATCAATCTAATGCTGTTGGGAAAAACAGCCTGACACTGTAACACTAGTGTCTCCCCTCATCAACCTTAATGCACGTATATGTCAGTGGCCAAACTCCATTTAAGCACTCTCTTCACAACCTCAAGTGTGAGCAGCTTTTTAGAAGCAGAGGATTTTTGCAAGTCCCTGTTCAAGGTGCACTGGAAAGACAGGAGTCAGCAAAGGGTTTGGTCTCATCTTCCACCTGAAGCACCACTGCCTGTGGTTGTGCTGTTAGCAACCCACTCATGGGGTGCACTGGAAGGAAGTAGACTTGCAGACAGCGATGATCTACAAATGAGTCCCTAACAAGGAGAGAGCCAGAGCGTGCCAAAGCAGCACCACCTCCAGGGATCCCTAAGGCCACATGAGGAGGGAGAAAGGGAAGGACCAATCTCCCGAGAACCTTCTGAGCTGCAAATGCTGAATGCCATCAAGTGCTTCAGCAAGCATCCCAGGTACAGCAGTGACAGGACAAGCAACCTCCCAACTTCCAAGTGAATAAACTAATTCCCCTTTGGCACAAGAAATTTGTTATCCCATTTCCATTCCACAGTTGCAGCTGACATCACACAACAGGCACTGAGCAACACACCAGGCTGCTGCAAAGTCCACGTGAGGTCACCTGGCATGCCAAGGTGCACTGCTGGGCAGATAAGGCTCTGAGGGCAGGATGGGGACCAAGACTGCATTTCTCCAGTGAACTTCAATCCCTTGAGCATGACTGGCCCTGCACTTCTGCTAATACCTGCACTGACTACTCCCATTTCCAATGCATTTTCTGAGAAAGCTTAGATGAGAACACAGGACAGCAACATACTTGAGTATTTCCATTATTTTTCCCCTGGAAAGCAGCAGAAACATGAGTTCAACAGCATGGGACTCCAAACAGGCTTTACCTGTAGCTGCACTCCCCTCTTGTCTTCATTTTCTACATGCAGGCGAATCCGTGCAAACTTTTCATCAGAGATGTGCAGCATGATCATGCCATGAAGCTCCATGTTCTGCAACCCTCCGTCACGGCCACAAGTCAAGGAGATTTTCTCCTCTATTTTCATGTGCACACTAGACAGACAGAGGAAAAAAGCTCAAGTCCTACACTCTTGGTATCTCCCAGACAACAGAGAGATCACTGCTCTGTAAGGACAGGCTGTGTGTACTGAGCAGGGGCTCCCAAACAACAGCACAGCTGGTACAGCGGGGGCTAATACTGCTCTGACAGTGAACTCAGGGGCAGGAGGATCCCTGCATATGGATCTGCAAGGATGTGAGTCCAGTTAAATGGCAGTGATGCAGCATCTCGACAAGCTGGTCACTCAAATCCCCTCTGAAGGCTGCAGTGCACAGCTCAGGGCATTAAAAGGTTCTCGATGGCTGCGTACAAAATGAACCGTGAATGCCTCCATTCTGAGCAGCAACAAGACTCAGAAACTGAAAACGGCACAGAGGAAAAAGCACAGGAAAATT